CGCACATATGGTACGGTTTCATCGCGGATATTGCGCCGGTAGACGCTCATCACATGTTGCCAGGATTTGTGTAATCCTAATGTGCGCGCCACGTCAGATCGAGAGGCGGCTTTCGACCCACGCCTCAAGGCATACAAGTTATACATTATCGACTTTGATCGTTCGCGCAAGCTCGACTTGAAGCCTGGTGTCCAAGGCGCAGTTGCTTTGCCAGAGACTGTGTGCCGTCATCCCAATGGCATCACGCACCTAGATCCGTATTCATGGGACGTCTACTGTGCTGGAACTCTGTTCCTCGAGTACCTGGAGGTGCGTTGCGTCGCAATACCACCATGTAGTTGACTGATGACGGTATCGCAGACCATCGTTGGCAATAAGCCGCTGCCCCGTATAGTGGACAGATTTGCGCAATGGTTGATCGGTGATGAGCGTGGTTGCAGCGGTGTTTGTCGCTGCCGCCCTTCGGCGCATCGCGCCAGACAGGTGCTCACCCTAGTGCGTTGGACCATCTGTGTATCGGAGTGTTGCGATCATGTCTTATCCGTGGTTCGGCCCATTGGTCGGCGGTGCCCTTGCCCTGCTCGAGACATTGCATACGAGTAGTTGGCGAACTGGTGACCTAGATTGATTAACATCCGAGATACCCTGCGAACGCAATGTTAAGGCGAATAACATAGGCGGAGTATTTTGCGTTATCCACCTCGTTCGCCTCGTACTACCCGGCGCGGCGGTGTAGGGCTATATCCCCGTTAATCGATTGGTTGAAGGATCAGGATGCTGCACCCACGGCGCGCCCGACAGCCCATCCCTGGAGCTGCTCCCGAGGCTGTATGATACATTCAAGCTTGTGTCGCCCGAACAGACTGGTATTGGTGACTACGAGCCGGTATGTGCGGCGCCGGTTTCGGAGGCCGGAGGGTCTAACGTCGAGAGAACCGTTTGTGCGGCCGAACCAGTTCAATACCAAGCATCTCTACTCATTCCGGCGGTGTACATTGGCAAGTGCCTGGCCGAGTGCCTGTGAGTAAGTCTTTTTCTTGTGTTGGGCAATGAGACATAAGCTACCATAGCTTGACTAACAGTTGCCTGCGGGAGAATGAATCCTGACATACCACCTAGGGCAGTGATGCGCGTAACTCGCGAAGCGCTGCGCAATACGCCATCGACGCCATCATACTGGGGACTCTCAGCAGACTTGTGGCTTCATCAGCGTTTTAGTTAGCGTAGACCGGCTAGTGTGGACTGCTGAGTGTGATGCCTTCTAGAAAAGGGCCTCAGGCACCCACAGGGTAACTGGTGGATCTCGATCTGTGGGCGTGCCTCTGATCGGCGCCACTCGTCTTACCGCGAGGAACTTATTCAGACCATCTACATACTCACCACCGTCCGCCGAGCACCCATCATGCCTGCTCAGTATTCAGTACTTTGTACAAGCTCGACCCGCTCTCTGTTCATGTATATACACTCGGTTTCCCAAGCGAAGCGACTCGTATACTCTCCCCTCTGTCGTCTCCGGTTCAGACCCCCAAAATGTCTGTAAACGCAGACTCGTCCGTCACATCCGTCCGCTCATCCGCGAAGAAGGATTTGCGGAGGGAGAGTGACGCTATGTCCGAAGCCTCCACACGCAAACATGGTCAGGATACGCATGCGAAGCGGTCGATGTCCAAGGACGTTATCCTCATTGGCACCGTAACCCTTGCTATGATCCTCAACGTGAGTGCCTCCTTCATATGCTCGTTCGCTCGCACCACATAATAATCCTATCAATAGATTGCGAACATGACTGCCGTGTCTATCTCACTCCCGACCATCGGCAAAGACCTCAACATTGTTGAGTCCAAGCTCCAGTGGATCATCTCTGCCTATGCGCTCAGCTCGGTCAGTCGCGCTCTCCTTCGCACAACCACGCTTCTCCGCGTACTGATCTCACGTATGATATGGATGCCTGTTTCTGTTCCTTGGGCGACTCGCCGACTTGTTCGGGCGCAAGATCACGTTCATCATTGGATGTGCGTGCATGGGCGTCTTTGGCTTGGGATGTGGGTTTGCCCAAGGTAAGCTCACCCATCCGTTCGCCAAGACACATACTAAAGCTCCGCGCCTCACAAGATGAGATCACCCTGGATATCTTGCGTGGGTTGCAAGGTCTCGGTCCCGCAGCCTCAGTGCCAGCAGCCGTGGGTAGCCTCTTCCCTCGCGCGCATGTACTCCGTGCTGACTTCCACCCAGCTTGGTATCCTTGCGCACACGTTTCCTCCTTCACCCATCCGGTCCATTGCGTTTGCGACTTTTGCTGCCGGGGCTCCTATCGGTGCAGCGGTGGAGAACACTATTGGTGGTGTCCTTACACAACTCACGGTGTACGTGTAAAGTCACTTCGGATCGGCACGCTGTCTGACCTCCTCCTATACAGCCAGAGTTGGCGTTCTACGTTCTGGTTTTTGACCGGACTGAGTGCTTTGTGCTGTGTTGGTGGGTTGATGTCTATCGATGCAGACATCCCGTACGCGCTTCCAGATAAGTGGGTATATATGCTCAAGTTTCGGGTTCGCATCGGTCCTAAGACTTTCTGTTCAGGCGCATAGATTGGCTTGGGGCCCTTCTTGTCACCTCCGGCCTCGTCTTCATCATCTTCATTCTGAGTGATGGCCCCATTGCGCCCGATGGCTGGAAGACTGGTTGTACGTATCGCCCCTTTGTATCTCGTAGACTCGTACCCCACCACGAAGCTCACGAAGACGTCATCGTGCGCCATATCTCCCTTAGACATTATCGCGCTCCTGATTGTTGGCGTGTTCCTACTCGTGCTCTTCGTCGTCTGGGAGCGCTACCTTGAACGTATGCATGCTCGAGGCGAGGAGACTAGCCAGAGGTGGTGGACGCCGCCGCCGCTGATGCCCGTGTCGATTTGGGGCAGGGCAGATGGCAAGCTTGCAGCGATGTTGGCTATAGCATTCGTCCAGTGGTGCAGTTTCAATACGTTCATATTCTGGGTTCAGGTGCGTATATGCGCTTGTACGAGCCAGGTTCGAGCGTTTTCTGAACGTTTGGGATAGCTATACTACCAGAACTACTTAAACCTGAACCCAATTCTGACTATGGTTCGGCTCTTGCCCATGTCAGCAACGGGCATAATCTGCAACGTGATCGTCGCTCTCGTCGTCGGCCGCGTCCCCTTAGTCTGGCTTGTCGGTATGTGCCTCTCCATTAGTCAACTCCGCACTCGGTTCATACTACATGCTCACCTGCCGCTCGCGAAACAGTCATCGGTACTCTACTCACCGGAGCCTCCAACCTCCTCTTCGCGGTCACCGTTCCCTCCGCCCCTTACTGGGCCTTCGGCTTCCCCGCAGCGATCATCACTGTCTTCGGCGCCGACTTCGTCTTCGCCACCGGCACGCTCTTCGTCGCGCGCGTCTGCCTCCCGCACAAACAGAGCGTCGACGGCGCGCTCTTCCAGACACTCACTCAGCTGGGGACATCGTTTGGGCTGGCGATCAGCACGGTCGTGTCCAACGCGACGCTGAAGAGCAAGGCAAAGAGCTTGGGCGTTGCCTTGAATGCAGGCGGGACGAACGCGCCGAAGCCTGCGCAGCTGACGGCGTATAAGGACGCGATGTGGAGCGGGTTTGCGTTCGGGATGTTTGGTGCGTTTGCTGCTCGTTTTCGGAATGAGTCAAGAGGGCTTTCGAGGCTGACTGGTGTTTGTGCGCATGTGTCTTGCTTGCTATCCTCTTCCTTCGAGGAGTTGGCGTCGTTGGGCACCGGAAAGGCGACAGTGACGACGAGAGCGAGAAGACAGCGCTTGAACCGGAAGACCGCGATCCCGAAGCTGTATGTTGAAGTCCCTCTTCGTGTGCGGTGCTGCGATAACTCACGATACTGCCGTATTTCCTGCTGATCAACATCTCCCACTAAGCTGATGTCTGCTCGCTCTTTCGGACGTCTGAATCAGCTCTCCCTGCAATAGCAATACACTTTTGATATGCACCGCGTAATCGTACAATGACATGCCCTTTCCAAGTTAGCTTACGAACCGCGCGTCCGCTTTTGCATACTCACGCACTTCAATCGTATATGGCTGTCGTTCACTCGATCATAGACGCATCTCATCCATCCACGATCAGGGTCAGTGTGTGCATACACAACAGCCTCAATGGATCTCCGAAGCCTGCGGGGAACTCGCATGGACGTATCTCCCCATCTGTCCCGCAAGCACCTCATACACATCCCGTAGCCGGGACATGTATTCGCCCCCACTGTGGGTGATGGCGTCACCTGACAACTGAGACCAAGGCAGAAACAGACGCGTCTAAATGTGAACAGTGAAGTCGAGTTCCGTATGGCCTACTTGTGCACGTGCTCAAGTTCATGCGTCTTGACAGATATCGTTTCGGGGCCGTTGAAGTCCTGCCGTAGGGTTGTGGGAGGGTTTTCAGAGCGGCGTGGTGATGGCTCCGTACGGTGGAACATACCGTCGAAACGGCCCGCAGGTCGCTATACTCTTCTCCCCTCCAGCTTGTATGCTGCCAGCTGAACTTCGATTGATCTGATTGGATGGGATCAGTTGCCTTGATTAAAAGCAACAAGCTCCATCGCCGTTGGTGAAGCGATGCCGTCCAGCCGGGATTGTCGGAAGGGTCCAGCGCTTCAGCACGGGCCAGAGACTGATTCATCAACTCTTGTTCATTCAACCTTGTTCGGAGCGCACAGGGGATCTACATGATGCTTGCCGCCCTCTTGTAAATCGTCGTCAATCGTGGAAAAAGGCAGATTGTTCGAAGTCGGTAAGAATTGTCACAAAATACGCCATGGCAAACGTATGTGTATCTGATAGGACGTATCTAGGAGAATACGCCAAGGGGTCCGTGTTTCGATGCCTCCGCAGCTATGCTCCGCCGATTGGAGGAGTATGCTGACGGGGACGACGCTTCTGGTGCGGGCACGCAACCGCGCATATACTGCGTTCTCACGTCTCTCCATGTTAGGGATGTGTTATTCAACTTATTGGCTGAAGCAACTCAGCAATTACGGGGCCTATTGTCAGACGAGACATAGTTCCCTTCTCAGAAGGAGGTTCAAGGTTCGTGCTTGTTATCGCAAGTTGTATCTCCGCCGTTTGCATCTCTTAGGTGGTACGGGCGGCCCAATAGTACCCACATTCGCCGCTCATGATAGCCGATACTCAGTGCTAGTCTTCCTTTGTTCTGCTGAGTCTGCGCGAGACCTCTTGCGTTCAATAGCCGCCATTTTGCGAAGTGGAGATTCTATCTGATCGCGAGAGGGAGACTCCCACAGTGACCTGTTATAATCACGTCACAGAAAGGGTCACATGTCACCGTCATATTATCTCGTGACGTTTCTCTATTAGTTGTGCCACTCAGGTTTCACGAACACATACTTGAGCACGACTCAGCAACTGGGTACTATACTTCTTCTTCCCATCCCTGAAGCTAGCCATGGCTTCCGACGAAATACCAGATATTCTCAAAGTTCCACCCTGGCTCATCCAGCATCCTGAGCTTCAGCGTCGCGGCATACATTTAGCACAGACGTTACGTCCGGTGAGGAAACTCCCGCCATCGTCAGAACCGCTCTTTCCGAGCTGATCCAGTACGGTAGGGCACAGTATTTGCCACAGAGTGGGGCAAGTCTCCGCGGACAGTCGTCAAGATTGTGGACCCTTCTAAAGAGGAAGCAGACATCCTTGACAGCCTCCAGCGAGACATAGCATGCCCCGCTAGCCATGTCGTGCCTTGTGATGTGGTCCGTTCCGACAAGCTGTTGGCGATCATGCCATGTCTTTCTTCAATAGAGGAGTTGTTATTCACTTCGGAGAAGCTGAGCAACGTCCTCGATATGTTCGATCAG